GCCAGGTATTCCTCTGTGCCGCCGAGAAACAGTGCAAACGGCACGGGAGCGCTGCAGTGCTCCTTCGCGGCTCCAAGTGTCGCTGTTGGCTCACGATGAGCGGATGAGCAGGCAGAGAGCGCGAGACGAGAACAGAGGCCGAGAGAGCGGAGCCGCCGGAGTGAGGGCAAGGAGAGCGCAGGAAGCAGCGCGGAGCGAAACGAGCTTGTTCGTACTGCTGTGAGGGGAGGCTGAGGGAGGAGAAGAAGGAGAAGAGCTGTGCCCTGATCTGGAAATGTGGTCGCGAGAGCGGCGCGTCTCCTGGCGAGGTCGATTGCTGCTGTGGTGCGTCTTGGTGGCGGCGTGGGAGCTGTCTTGGGGACAGCTGCGCTACTCGGTGCCCGAGGAGATGCAGAAGGGCTCCTTCGTGGGCGACGTGGCCAAGGACCTGGGATTGGAGCTCTCGGCACTCCGCGGCAGCGGCGCCCACGTCGTTTCCGAAGGTAGGAATCAATATTTTTCTCTGCACGAGAAAACCGGGCACTTAGTGATGGCGGAACGAATAGACAGGGAGCGGGTCTGTGAAAGCGCAGAGGATTGTGTCCTCCGCTGTGAGATGATAGTGGAAGGTGAAATGAAGGTTTATGCAATCGAAGTGGAAATCAGAGACATTAACGACAACGCGCCCAGCTTCCGAGACGAAGAAATGCAAGTGAAAGTGAGCGAGACAGCAGCTCCGGGATGGCGCTTTCTCTTGCGCAGTGCTCTAGACCCAGACATCGGGAGAAATTCTCTGCAGGGGTACGAGTTGAGTGACAACGAGCACTTCGCTCTGGATGTGCAAACGGGAAAAGACGGTTGGAAACGTCCCGAGCTGGTGCTGGTGAAGGTGCTGGACCGCGAGGAAGCCGCCTTTCACGAGCTCGTGCTGACGGCGATGGACGGTGGCGACCCACCGCGGACGGGTACGGTACTGATCCGCGTGATCGTTCTAGACGCCAACGACAACGCACCGGTGTTCAGCCAGGCGGTGTACACGGTGCGTGTGCGGGAGGATGTGCCCTTGGGCTCCGTCCTGCTCACCGTCAGTGCCACCGATGCCGACGACGGGATGAACGGAGAGGTGAACTTTTCTTTTGAAAAGATTTCAGTAAAAGCATCTGAAATATTCCATTTGGACACCGAAACGGGAGTGATCACCCTGACCGGAAGTCTGGACTTCGAGGAAGGTGATTCGTACGAATTGGAGGTTCAGGCAAAAGACGGTGGGGACCAGTTCGACATGGCGAAAGTCTCGATCGAGGTGACTGACGTGAATGACAACGCGCCTGAAATCTCGGTGAGGTCCTTGATGAGCACAGTGCCAGAGGACTCTCCGGCGGGGACGGTGGTGGCTCTGCTGCACGTTCAGGACCGCGACTCGGCCGCGAATGGGGAGGTGAGGTGCTCCCTGGACGCRGGGCTGCCCTTCCGTCTGCGCAGCTCGCTGGGCAACTACTACAGCGTGGAGACGTCGAGGGAGTTGGACCGCGAGGCGGTGTCGGAGTACAACGTGACGGTGCGGGCGACGGACGGCGGGTCGCCGGCGCTGTGGAGCAGCGCGGTGCTGCCGCTGCGC